CTGCTGCAAGGTGTTAAACACATATAGGTGGAGACGAGTTACGGTACAACTTCCCGCTATTTTCGTTGATTTAACACGACATGACGTCAAAACGACGTCGTGTGCGTTACTGTTCTTACTAGAATATCAAAGTATGGATCATTATAAAGGGATTGAAATTCGTTGCATCTTGTAAAATAATATTGTTACTCTGCTACAAGGTGTTTAACACCTGCGGGCGGAGACCGGCTACGGTAAAACTTCCCGCCAATTTTCTTTAATCTAAGACGACGTGACGTCAAAACGACGTCGTGTGCGTTACTATTCTTACTAGAATATCAAAGTATGGATCATTAAAAAAGGGATTGAAAGTCGTTGCAAGTTGTAAAGTTATATAGTTACTCTGCTACAAGGTGTTAAACACCTAAAGGTGGAGACCAGTTACGGTACAACTGCCCGCTATGTTCTTCAGTTTAAGACGACATGACGTCAAAACGTCGTCGTGTGCGTTACTTTTCTTACTTGAATATCAAAGTATGGATCATTATAAAGGGATTGAATGTCATTAAAAGTTGTAAAATTATATGGTTACTATGCTACAAGGTGTTTTTGTTACAACTTCCCGCCATCTTTACTCGAATCGGCGGCCAGCTTCGCTTCAGCTTCAGTTTATTATATTGTCGCTAGGTGTCGTTTTCAACTCGTTAATTTGCAGTTATTCTTTACCTTAAGTCCACATGTCGTCAACACGACGTCGTCGGCGTTACTTTTCTGAAAAGAATATCATTATAAAGGAATTGAAAGTCGTTGCAAGTTTTAAGATTATATGGTTACTCTGTTGCAAGGTGTTAAACACCTATAGGTGGATACCAGGTACGGTACAACTGCCGGCCATTTTCTTTAGTTTTAGACGACGTGACGTCAAAACGACGTCGTGTGCGTTACTTATCTTACCAGAATATCAAAGTATAGATCATTATAAAGGGATTGAAAGCCATTGCAAGTTCTAAAATTATATTGTTACTCTGCTACAAGGTGTTAAACACCTAAAGGTGGAGACCAGCTACGGTACAACTTCCCGCCTTTTTCCTTAGTTTTAGACGCGTGACGTCAAAACGCGTCGTGTGCGTTACTTTTCTTACTAGAATATCAAAGTATGGATCATTATAAAGGGATTGAATGTCATTTTAAGTTGTAAAATTATATTGTTACCCTGCTGCAAGGTGTTAAACACATGTAGGTGGAGACGAGTTACGGTACAACTTCCCGCTATTTTCGTTGATTTAACACGACATGACGTCAAACGACGTCGTGTGCGTTACTATTCTTACTAGAATATCAAAGTATGGATCATTATAAAGGGATTGAAAGTCATTGCAAGTTGTAAAATTATATAGTTACTCTGCTACAAGGTGTCAAACACCTGAAGGTGGAGACCAGTTATAATTACGGTACAACTTCCCGCCATTTTCTTTATTATGGGTTCACCACACCACGAAGTGGTGTGGTGAAACCATATTGCTTTTTCTGATGTTTCTTCTCCTTCTCCTCCTCCTCCTCCTGCCATATCTTTAAATGGATTCAGCTTCTTCATTTTAGGGCCTAAGGTCCTGAAATTTGGTATGGAGGTACAGTGGGCAAATACCCCTAGGCGTTTTTTAAATTATTGTGATACAGGCTTTTAGAATGGTTTTATTTGAGTTTTTTGGCTGTGTTATAGCAAATGTATTACTGTGTTAGTCTGCCTTGTTTACCACGTTTGGGCATGAGTCATGACAATGGAATGCAGGGCATCAACCAATAGGCATGCAGCTTTCCTCTATACTTCTTGCTGATTGGCTGTTGGGATTTAACTTGATTACACCTGCTACAGAGCA